TGCGTGCGTGCGTGCGTGCGTGCGTGCGTGCGTGCGGCGCGGCGGTGCGCTCCGGCCGCGGCCGGCTTCCGTGCGAGCTGTCTTCCGGCTGCGGAGCGCCCCGCGGCCTGTGAGGGACGGAGCTGCGGATGGAAGACCGCGCGGCTTGCCGCCCGGAAGTAAACGGTGTTGCCAACGAGCCGCTCTCCTGTGTTCATTTGCGGGGCCAGCCCTGACTTGGACTGACCTGTGGGCTGAGCGGAGCCGCTGTGTGTTCCCGTACCCGCGAGTTGCGTCCGCTCTCCGTGCCGGTTTTTGTTAAACGTTCGGGGTTGAACTGGGGACCTTGTGCCGCGGGCAGCGCTTACGCCCTTGAGCTGTTTCCCGGCCCTCCCGACAATTTAAAGGAGCCTAAACCTGCGTTTGAATGTTTAAAAGTAGTAGGTTTATTTTCCATATGTTAATTTCATGTGGCTACTCATACTAATTCTGATATCATTACATTGTTTTCATGATTGTACTTTGCCATCATATACGTATGGGCTGGGGAAGCATTTCCCAAATGTAGTTTTTAGGACCTGGGTTTTAATAGTTTTAAATTTGCAAGTTTATTGTAGAAATTAAACACTAGGTGGCACCCACTTAGTATTGGTACAGTTGTTGAGGCATTTTGTGTTCTTAATTACTGTGCATGGAAAATTCCCCAAACAAGAAAATACCGTTTGGTCGTATGTATATAGGCTCTTTTTACAAAACAGAAATAGTTGCTTGAAAACGTTATTTTCAGAAGTTATTGGTGCAGTGGCAGTTGTGCGTGCTTTATAAACATTTCACTGAGGACTGGGGTGCAGCTCAGTGAAAAGGCCCGAGGTTCAGTCTTCAGGACAGGACTGGGAAGAAACAAAAATGGTCTCTAGCTTTGGAATGGAAGAGAGCGCTACCCTGAAAAATAAAGTACGCTGTAGTTTCACCCAGCAATGAAGTTGTGTAGCGTAGGACATCGGTGTTAACCTGTCTACTCACCTTTCTGTACTTTCTAAACCTAAATATTGAAGGAGCCTATTCACTTTCCCTCTCCACCCCAAAATTTGCTGACACTTAGAATGAGTGTTAGCCTTTGTATTAATGGAAGATTACATCGTGGTTAAAAACGAAGGGGGAGGGGAAAGGAGAGTAATAAATTGCGACAGGTGAACTTGTATTGCTCTCTAGATGGAAAAAATGTATATAAAATGGTATGGATTAATTGTGGACTAAGACTTCATGGACAAGTGCAAAAAATAAACCCTCTTGCAAGCTGGAACTCATTGTTCTGTGAGTTTGGGTATGCGCATGAAGGAGCATCACTTCCAGGAGCCGGTATGAGTGCTGGTGCTGGGTTTCGAGGCAAGAGGGAGGAAGCTGCCCTGCACAGTGACAGTCTGCCTCAGAAAGCTAGCAAAGAAAATTGTGATAACCTGATGCAGAGTGGCACGATGGAAGGTATTAATTACTAGTACGTTTTGTTCTGAGACTAAAGTGAATTACAAAGCACCAGATAGGAAAAAAATCTCAGCTCCTACCCAGTGCTTTGTAATAGATCTGCTATTCCAATTTCTATGTTGAGCACACAGAGATAGCTTTTTTTTCCTCATAAAGTCTTCTGTTGGAACATGGGTGTGGAGTCAAAGACATGTCTTATTGTGTTGGATCTTGTTTGTTTAAGTGTAAGTAACATCAGATTAAAATTTCCACAGGTTTTAATAAAAGATTATTAGCTTTCTTTTGAAAAGTGACTCAGAAAAAGGTAAGGCCATTTTACTATGGCCTATATATGTTACACATATTACATGAAATTGCTGATTTTAGGTATAAAACTTTGTGTGACTGTAGAAAAAATGTATTCTTGCAGGATGTTGTTACAACACTAAAATGGAGAGGAAGTGCTGCTGTGGTTCAGGTTGTGCTGCAAAAGTTCATTTGTTAATTTTAGCCCCCAAAACCTGATGTGATTATGTAGAAAAGTTCAATTATTCTTGGGGGCTACCAGGTCACAAGAGTAAGAAGAAAGTGGAGGTGACATTCCTGTGGCTCAAATGTGTCCTGCAAAGCTCTTATGTGGGGTGTTTTGAGTGAGGCAATGCTCAAAGAAAAATGATAGGTGGAAGCGGACAGGAAGGTGAATTTCTTGCAATATGGCAGTAGGTTTTTTGTTTGTTTGTTTTTTGGAAGTAGTTTGAAGAAAAAAGCATGAGGAAGAGGGAAGTAAGCAGACTAGACATGCCACGTAGAGCAGCCTAGTGACATCAGCTGGTGTAGATACCACAGGCCATAATGTGAGCCAGGGCTAGTAGGACCAACAAGGATGAAGGTGGGACTGGGGACTTGGAGGAGGGAGGGGAAGGGAAGGAAGAGGGAATTAGAAAGCTGTAGTGTGTCCATGTGACCAAGGTGACTGTAAGCTGCATGAACTATAAATGTATTAATAAATTAAAAATTTTTAAGTTGGTGTGTTGAAAATTTCAGATTCATGTGCTGGTGTTTGGAGGTGGGACCTTTAGGGGTAGTCGGGGTAGTCAGGGTTAGATGAGGTCATGAGTATAGGGTCTTGGAGAAGCCACTTAGTGCCTTTGCAAGGAGAGGAAGAGATTGGTGCCCTCCGACGGATTGTGATGTGGCAAGAAGGCCTTTGCCTCATGCCAGCTATGTGCTGGTACATGCTCTAGGATTCCTGGCTCCAGAATTGGGAGCCAGATGAACATATTATTGATAAATCATTTGGTCTCAGGAATTGTGCTACAGTAATAGAAAACAGGCTAAGAAAAATGTCATGCTGTTTGCAACTTCATTCCAATGGCCTAGCAGAAGGTATTAGATCCTATAATGTGTTATATACACACTCAAAGAAGATAGTGAAAGGAATGAGTTATTAATGGTGATTCATCTAGGAAGAAGGAAAACAAGTCTTCTGTACCATTTTTCATTTTCTCTGTAGGATTAGAAGACTTCAGAATTAAAAAACCACTTGGAGAAATCATACCTATTTTCTGCTACAAAAAATATATGAAGGTAGTGAATTTTCCTTTCATTTTTCAATATATCGTATCTTTGCACTTATTTTTATCTTTGTTTTGTTTTTGATTTATTCGCATGATTTCATTTTAGCTCTGTAATTTTAGGAAGTTTTCAAAGAGTAACATGCCTTGGCTGGAACTAAGCTGCTTCTCTATGAACCAACAGGACGTTTATAAACATTTTCGTTGCTTTTTTTTTTTTTTGTAGTTTTTTGAGACAGGCTGGCCTTAAGCTCATTGTGTAAGCCAGTCTGGGCTTGAACCCACAGTCTGCCCACTGGAGCTTCCCAAGTGTTAGGATGACGAGCCTAGCCGCCATGCCTGGCAGGTGAACAGCTTTTTAAAGTAACACCCATTCAGACTGTGTCAGCCATTCTCCCTTTCTTTGAGTATGATACTAATAAGAAATAACGGAGGTTAAAAGGAAGGATAACAATTAGGAAAAATCAGAAGTCTGGTTTGCTTTCACGTTTTAGGTTCGCCAGGCCCAGATCCTCCCCAGCCATGCGGACAGCAGGTCAGTGACCTCTGCTGGAAAAGTGTGGGGTGTTTCTGTAGGTGGTCTTTACCTTGGAATTTAAGATTTCTTCCCACAAGTGTGCATTTCTAAAAACCAGTATTTTGTTTTGCCCCATGGGCTGCTAATGTGGAAAACTCCTTTATGACCAGCCATGGCCATGACCACTTAAGGAATCCCTTTATACGTTGGATACTAAACTCTACTGCGGAGTTTCACGGCTGTGTGTCTCCCGTGGTTTCCCGGGAGATGGTCTGTTTTTCCTCTTGCTGTGGCGTTTCTTCTTCTGGCAGCTGTTGCCTTTGCCGTTTTTCTCGGCTGTGTATGTTTTTATCCACTGCTTCACAGTGGGATTGTGGGGGCTGATGCAGATTCTTCTGCGCTTCACATGAAGACTGTTGAGAAAGGAAGAAAAAAATAATCTCAAAAAATATGAACATATAAAAAATGAGTCATAGGCAGCCCCCCCCTTGTGGATGCTGCATTCTTAGGGACTGAACCCTAAAGCTGCTTAGTACAGGAGTAAGCCTTGGTTTTAGGCACTGCCACCTGTGGTCCTCAGATAACAGCAGAGGAGGAAGAGGAAAAGGAGTGGGGGAGGAGGAAGCAGAAGAAGCCAAGGAAGTGGAGGAGGAGGAATGGAACAGAAGGAGAGAAGCAACAGTAAAAACCAAGGGAAATAAGCTTCACCAGGAATCAACTCATCGCCACTCCGTCTGAAACACATCCCTGTCTGTAAGGTTTTTCTGGAGCCTGTCAGCTAAATGTCGTCTTCCTCTGTGTCCGTGATGAGGGTTACTGCACTTCTGGGTCTTAGCTTACTGTGTCTTTGACTTGAGTACTCATCTGTGCTTCTGAAGTTACAGTTCTTGAGAGAGGAATAGTCCAGGCACTTTTTTTTTTTTTTTCAGGACTATACAAAATACATTAGAAGAACCCATTTATTTTTTTTATTTTTTTTATCTTATTTTTTTAAATTATTTTTTATTTTAT